AAGTAAGCTGGAGCTGTACGGGTAGGATTGCCTTCCCTAACCCGACCTGAGAAGCAGTTCATACCCTTTCTCTTCCTAGCAAGTCTATCTTCACGAGGCGGGGAAGCTGCACCATTTCTTACAACACTGGACGGAGAAGCCCTGCGTTTCTCTCTAACATTGACCGAGCCTGCATCTCATATTGAAGGCCGAGGTTAGCATCCTGCGCAACTAAGCGTGGACATACTCCAGATGCCGATCCTCGACCTAAGAAGTGACAATCTCTGAAAACGTTTAGGGAGGCCTTGAACATGATAATTACCTCATCTACTACATCACCGATGTTGGAACGTGCTCCGAAGGTTGGGCCTCGAGCCAACAGCTTGCAAAACTCTAAAATCATCGGGAAGGATCTAACATCACTCTCTTACCTTGCATCGCTTTCTTGACATGCATTAGGGAGCCATCCAAGCACAGCTCTCTTGATCCGACCTTGGCGGGATGACGATAATGACCACTGCTTCGGATTCATGATTGGCCAATGAGTCGTCGTCTACGTCAGCACCGGCCCAACACAATCATTCCTTTCTCAAGACCGGTCAGATCCTCCTTCACTTGGATGATGACTGCTGCTTTGATTTCATAGTCGGCCTATGAATTTCCATCCTCGTTAGGATCGTCTCAGTGCCACCATTCTCATTTCAAGACCGGTCGCATTCCCCTTCACTTGGATGATGACCGCTGCTATGGATTCATCACGACCAGACTAAACGTCATCATTTTGATTCTATAATCAGGCCAGCCCGCCGTCCACAGGGATGACGACTATTTCTTCATCGCAAGCTTGGGAAGGTGAGTGCTTCTCCCCAGCATTAGGTGAAGAAGTTATTAGCATCTACCCGACATTAGGCAGGGAAGGTGCATGCTTCTACCCGGCATCAGTCGGAGAAGCTGGGCATCTCTCCGGACATTAGACAGAGAAACTCTTAGCATCCCCCGACATCAGGCAGGGAAGGTGTGTGCCTCTCCCCAGCATCAGGCAGGGAATGAGCGTGCATCTCCCTGGTATCAGACATTGAAGCTCTAAGCATCTCCCTGACATTATGCAGGGAAGTTGCGCGCTTCTCCCCGACATCATGTGGAGAAGTTGTGTGCTTCTCTCCGACATTAGATGGACTTGCATCGGATGTCAAAGGTCGAGACTTAGCATCTTTCGTCGCATCCAAGGCAGCAAATGCGCTTCTCCGACCATCCATGCCTACGAGGAAACGAAGGTCAGGGCAGGGCAGCAAGTGTACTTCTCCGACCTACCATACCTATGAGGAAATGAAGGTCAGGGCAGGGCAGCAAATGTGCTTCTCCGTCCAACCAGCCATACCTCGAGGAAACAAACAGCGTAAGCGGGGATTCTGCCGGTTGGGTTATCTCCCCTTACCCGGCCTAAGGAGCAGTTTATACATTTGCTCTTCTTGGAAAGTCGCTCTTCGCAAAGCAGGGAAGCTTCTATCTTTTCCCCAGCACCAGGTGGAGAAGCTCCGGGCTTCTTCCTTACCTGAGATAGACCTTCATCTGACTTTGAAGGCCAAAATTTAGTATCTTGCACTGCAGTTAAAGCAGCGAGAGCACCTCTTTTACCTGCCATTTCTCTAACAGGTAATAATAGCAATCAACAGGGACTACTTATCATGGCGGACTACTCACTGCATCTATCTCGAGAACATCAGGCGAGCACTGCTCACAAGTGAAGACCGGTCTTTGCTATCCCCTCGACGGATGGCGACAGTTGCAGCTGCACACAATGGCCTAAGAGCTTACCCTTTAGCTCTATTTTGGGTGCATTTAAAGAAGAGATCTCTCCACCAGAGCAAGACCCTGGGCTGCAGCTAATCAGACAAACAAGACCCCAGGATGCTGATCAGAAGAACGAGACCATGGGAGGCTAATCGGATAAACAAGACCTAAAACTGCTACCTAGGCGAAAGAAACCATATCCTCTCACAAGCAGCGGGGATCAATGTGCATAGTTATAAAACTACCCTCTCCCGAGCATACCTCATCTCGGCATCATCAACAGGCAGCTTTGCGACCAGCCTCTCATGGGCATACCTTAGCTCGGCATCATCGACAAACAGTTATGCGGGTGGTCTCTCTCGAGCATGCATTGGCTCGACCGCCACCACTGGAAGGCAGACGAGCGACTGGCCTTCCCAGAACATATCTCGGCTTACCAGTAAAGCAGACGCTCAATCAAGAACCGACGAGACTGACCTTCCTCTGTTTTATTTTGAGGTACCGGTGTACTCTTTTTCCTTCACCAGGATTTTTTCTCACCGGGTTTTTTCCTAGTAAGGTTTTAACGAGGCATCCCCTCATCATGAACAAAGGAAGAGGTCTTCCCGGTTGGAGCAAAGAAGACCTGGCAGCTGGCCAGATAACCAGGACCCCAGGATGCTACCTAGACAAGAAGGGTCTCATCCTTACGCAACATTGTGGGATCACAACAGACGATTACATGACTAACCTTTCCAGGCACACCGCAGATCGTCATCATCAACAATCATCTGTGTAACTAGCTAGCTAGCTTGGCAACCAGGCCGATTTCAAAGCAGCTCAACTACTCCCTTTTAGACGAGTCTACTACTCGACTAAGGGAGTGGGGGACTCGTGTTGGGATAATATGCTAGGCCCAGTGCCATCGGCCCGTTATCCCCGAGCTTTGGCCCAACTAGGCCCAAGACGCAGTCTCACGAGTGGGAATCGCCCCTTGCTCATTTACTTATTTATCGGGCCGGTTCGCCCATTAGCTTGGACATGTATTATGTATTTGGGCCAAGCCCACGTAGGTTAGACTTTGGACTTGTGATGGATGCCTATAAATAGGCCATCACCCCTTTGTATTCTCTACGTTATTTTTACTATACTAAAATGCTGCTAGTTTCTCTACTCGGGATATTTTCTACCAACATCGTTCGTCATGAAAAAATGTTCGTCATGAAAAAATCTTCAGATTTCTAAATCTTCTCATCATACTCCAATAATTTTGAAAATAACACTATTACAACTACTGTTTTGGATTTATTCTTCATTCCACAACACTATTCCACTTTCTTCACATCATACCATCATAATTTATATCTTTCACTATTCTTAATTTACCTACTTTTGAAATGGGAAGATTTTTATGTTACGGATGGAGTATTCATTATTGTTTTTGGGATAAGGCTCAAATTAGACACTACGGTTTCATCAGAATCTCATATTGGACATTAAGGTTTCAAATGGATCAAATTAGACACTATGATTTAATATGTATCTCATATTGGACACTAAAGTTTCATAATTCAATATAAGTGAGTGTCCAATTTGATCTTTATCCAATATAAGTGAGTGTCCAAAAACTATGAATCATAAAACTTTAGTGTCCAATATGAGATATATATGAAACCATAGTGTCTAATTTGATCCATTTGGAACCGCAATTTATACCCTAGGATCGGCGCATCATGAGGATGGTGCGCCTGATCCCAAAACGACGCAGCATTCATTATTTTTTTTCTTTTATTGTTAAAAATTGTAATAACTTTTTTATTTGATATCTGATTTTTATAAATTTTATATCAAATTTTTTTATTTTTCATGATCTATCAAATGAGACCAATATTGCTTATGTAATTTTAACAAATTATTTTGAAGTTACATTTGATAATATATCATGAAGTTACATCTTCTTCTGCGCGAGTTAAATCTTATTTTACGCGAGTTACATCTTAATATACACGAGTTACATCTTAATGTATGTGAGTTACACCGTGAAATAAACCCCTGCTACATCTTTCATTTTTATCATTTGAAAAATAGTGTATGAATATGAAATACAATATACTTATTTTATGTGGATTAATAAAATTTTGTATTAAATTGGCAAAGAAAAAAATTAATTCAGTTATAATTGAATTAGTTCAAGATAAAGATAAGTAAAAAATCACAAATAATTAGATATAACTCACACATAATTACATGTAACTCGCGCATAAAAGTATGTAACTCGTGTATAACAAAATGTAACTCACACATAACAAGATGTAACTCACACATAATTACATGTAACTCTCGCATAAAAGTATGTAACTCGTGTATAGCAAGATGTAACTCACACATAACAAGATGTAACTCACACATAATAACTTGTAACTGGAGTATAAGATGATGTAACTTCGTATATTATCAAATGTAACTCCAAGCTAGAAGCAAAATAAACAAACTCAATATCTTAAAAACTTCTAAAACATATAAAAGTGATAAAAATATATTACAAAAAAATGTATGAATGTAAAAATTAAAATTACATAGGCAATTTTGGTCTCATTTGAAAGATCATGAAAAATAAAAAAATTTGGTATAAATTTTATAAAAATCGGATCAAAAATAAAAAAATTATTAACAATTTTAAGAAAATGAGAAATAAAAAATAACAAATGGTGGTGCATGGTGCTCACCATGCACCGGTACCACCGTACACTACAAAAAAATTCGCCTGTAGTCACAGACTTAGTCACGGACCGTAGTGTAAAAAGTCCGTGACTGACACATTTAGTCACGGATTTTGTCCGTGACTAGTTCCGTGACTAATTCCGCGTGACTAGAATGTAGTCACGGAACATTGGTCGTGACTAAGTGTAGTCACGGATTAGTCACGGAACTCGATCCGTGACTACATCTTGACCGGAATTAGCCCTCTGACACGTTAGTCACGGACCAGATCCGTGACTACTTTTAATTTAATTTTTTTTATGTTAGTCACGGACACGAGCCGTGACTAAGTTTAATTTATTTTTTTTTATTTTTTGTGGTAGTCACGGACGTGTCCGTGACTAACGTTTTTAAAAAAGTCCGCAATTAGTCACGGACATGTATCCGTGATTATGTTTAATTTAAAAAAAAATTGATTTTATTCCGGATTAAAACGTAGTCACGGATCTGGTCCGTGACTAATGTTTTTTGTTTTTTAAAAAAATAGATTTTAAATAAAAAAATAAAAAGTGATAATACAACATCTACATATTTTCTACATATACAACATCTTCTTCTGTATCAGAACCGTCTATCCATTCCCCTTCTTCCTGATAATGAGCATTTTGTTGTTCTTCATGCATTTCAACAATTTCGCGCTCAGATGGAGTTGTTAGGTCCGAAAGGTGCGTTTCTGGCATGACTTCAACACTTCCCCCATTTGGATCACTTAGCTGAATGTGCTGGTTGACCGTCTCAACAATCGGTGGAGGTTGGAAAAAATGTTGCTGAAAAGCATCTAAATCAACGTCCTTGTGTTGAGTCTGTGTCCGCCTGATTGAAGGGTATTCTGTATAATAATTCTGGGCTGCTTGTTGAACAATTATAAAAGGCTCATTTTTCGTATACACGTGAGAGTGGTTGACGTCAATCATATTATACTTTGAATTTTTTCGCACACTACGTGGTTGATCGATCCATTTGCAGCGGAACAAAACGCATGTCAACTTTTTCCCAGCAGAAGGCATTTCCAGTTCGAGAATCTCGTGCAAGACACCAAAAAATTTGGTTTCCGAGTTATCATAACCGATTGTTGGGACACATAACCGGCTGTTCACTGTTGGTCGACCCTGTCCGTAACCGACTGTGTGATAGGTGTAACCGTTTATCACATATGACCGCCAAACTTTGGCGTAGGCACCAGGGCTCCACGATAATGATACTAACAAAGGGTCCACAATCCCACGGTTATTGATCTGTAAATTAAAACACGATAACATAGGGTAATTATTAAATATTATTACATAATAATATATATAATTAATGTGTGTGTATGTATATATACCTGATGCTTGTACCACGGTATAAAATGAGAGTCCACCAATGCATCAATTTCATTGTCAGGGAATGCTGAGTACTTCGCTCTAAATTCACTGTGAAGTCAAACATGAAAATATTATAAATCAACTACCTTAATTGTATATATATTACAAAGATAACTACAAATTTAACTTACTGATAAAACGGTAAGATTTCTGGACAATTAATGAGCATATAAGTATGCGCAATTTGTAATTCTTTTCCCACGATGTATCGGTTTGTCCAAGCTCCTTTACCTCTACCTGGGTAATTGAAAATGGAAACTACATTTTCATATAAATCCTCGTCAATGTCATCGTTTCGGGCAGGTCTCTTTCTTCTAGTGATGACTTCACGCTCAAAATAAAAAGATGAGAACGTTGAGATTTCTTGTTGAAGATATGCTTGACAAATTGAAGCCTCAACGTGTGCCTTGTTGGTCACTTTCTTTTTCAACTCTCCAAGAAATCTGCAAAGTAAAATAAAAGTGGTACACAGATTAATGTTGTTATGAAATAAATATTCAAAGATAAATGAAATTGTGACTAACCTTTCAAATCTGTACATCCAGCGATAGAAGACGGGTCCACCATTTAAAGCCTCATACGGAAGATGTATTACAAGATGTTCCATTCCATCGAAAAATGATGGAGGCATTATCTTTTCCAAATTACACATCAGCATGGGAACAGACTCTTCTAGTCTACGGAGGGATGCTACATCCAAAACGCTTGAGCATATCGACTGAAACAACAAACTGATCTCAGTAATGTAGGACCATACGTGTTCAGGAAGCATCTCTTTCAGTGCAATTGGGAGAAGTCTTTGCATGATTGCATGACAATCGTGAGTTTTCATGCTCGGCGTCGTTGCAAGTTTGTCCATGTCCACGCATCTGGACAAGTTGGAGCAGTAGCCATCTGGAAACTTCAGCGACACAAGCCATTGTAATATTGATTCTTTTTGTGCTTGTGTGACTTGGTAGACTGCTTTTGGAATATTGTTGCCCTGATATTCTAGATCAACAGATAGTTCGGGCCTATCACACCAAATAGTCATATCTTTTCGAGATGCAAGTCCGTCTTTAGTTTTGCCTTTGAAATCCATCATTGTGTTAAATATATTGTCAAACACGTTCTTCTCGGTGTGCATGACATCTATATTGTGACGAATGAGAAGGTCTTTCCAATATGGTAACTCCCAAAAGATACTCCTCTTTGTCCACTTATGGGTATCACAAAACCCATATGGCTTCTTATTTGGTTCTTGCATAACCGTAGGAATACGTCGAACCCGGTTAAAAATTGCTTCCCCGGTCAATCTCGGGGGCGGGGTGTCTCGTACCACTCTACCTCTAATGAAAGACTTTTTGTCCTTTCGATATCGGTGGTTTTCCGGGAGAAACTTGCGGTGACAATCAAAGTAGCTTGGTTTTTTACTGAAAGTTAGCCAATTGGCACCTGATTTCTCCATGCATATCGGACATCCCATAAGACCATGTGTGCTCCATCCCGAAAGCATGCCATAGACAGGGAAGTCGCTAATGGTCCAAATGATGGCAGCTTTCATTATGAAATTTTGATCCCTTGAAACATCATATGTTGGTGTCCCAATGGCCCAAAGTTCTTTCATCTCCTCGATAAGGGGTTGGAGATAAATGTCTATTTTTTTCCCTGGATCATTGGGACCCGGACAGATTAGAGTCAAAAAGATAAATTGACTTTTCATGCACATGTCGGGAGGGAGATTGTAAGGAGTTAACATGACCGACCAACATGAATAGTTCTTCCCAAACCTTCCAAATGGAGCAAATCCGTCTGAACACAATCTCAGTCGCACATTTCGTGACTCCATTGCAAACTGAGGATGACAACGGTCAAAGTGTCTCCAAGCTTCACAGTCCGAAGGGTGAGACATCATACCCTCTTTTGTTTCGTGCTCAACATGCCATGTCATGTGTTTCGCAGTAGCAGTCGAAGCGTACATCCTCTGAAGTCGTGGAGCTATTGGGAGGTAATACAGTTTAGACAATGCCGACCTATTTCGTGGTTTCTTTCTACTTTGAGGAACAAGTTTGTATCTGTTTACACCACAGAACTTGCAGAATTCAAGTGTCTCATCATCCTTCCAGAACAACATACATCCTTCCGGGCACACATCAATTTCTATATAAGGTAGCCCCAACTTAGACATTAATTGTTTCATGTGATAATATGAATCCGGAAGGTTATGATCACATGGTAGCATCCCGCCTACTGACTGCAAGACTCTAGTCATGCAAGTTTCAGGGAGACTGTATTCAGCTTTTTATGTTCATAAACTCTGTAACGGCGGATAGCTGAGAGTATCCCTCACAATCAGCATACATGGGTTGATCAGCTGCTTTTAAAACATCTTGAAATCTTTCAGCTAAACCTTCATCCACATAAGGTTCATAAAATATCGGATTTTCATCCTCATGTGGTTGATACGAGGTCGAAGCTTCAGGAGGATCGTTAGATGGTTGTGGGGGGTTGAACTGAGACATCGATGCACCGTATGCGTCATATACCATACGTTGCTCCCATCTCATTTCAGCAGGGTCTCTCCACGCACTCATCTCTGCAGGGACGTTACGAGACGAACCTACCGTTTGTGGTAAAACAGATGGATCCAAAGGTTCGCCATGAGAAGTCCAATTGTAATAATTGGGAAGGAAACCGTCCGCGTACAAATCCCACCCAACTTCGTCTGGGTGTTTAAATTTAAGATTTTTACACTTTGAACATGGACATCTGATTTTATCACCACTCATATAAGCCGGGTGTTCAAGTGCGAATTTAATAAACTACTCAACTCCTTCAAGAAAATTTGATTGCATTCCGTACAATACCACATGTTTATCATACATCCAAATTCTATTTTGTCTATACATTATGCCTGAATATTATAATAAAAAAATTATACAGGTTAAAAACTCTAAATTATAAACATTACCAACATATTATATGTGGAGTATTATTAATATATTAAATTTCACTAAATTTCACTAAAATTCTCTTTAAATTAACTAATTCCCTTAAAATTAACTAATTCCCTTAAAATTAACTAGTTTCCTTAAATTTCACTAAAATTCACTAAAATTCACTTAAAATTAACTAATTCCCTAAAATTCCCTTAAAATTAACTAATTCCCTTAAAATTAACTAATTGCCTAAAATTTCACTAAAATTCACTAAAATTTACTAAAATTCCCTGAAAATTAACTAACGTCCAATAATTAATATTATTAAACTATAAACATGCACAATACGTTAATGGCATTAATTTAGTCCACAATACTAAAATTATCAACATCTTAATCTTATTAATAATGCACATTTAACAATTTACTAAATTAAATAATATGAGCAAATCCAATAATTTGAGCATATATATATAATAAACACATTTAAATTAAATTAACTAACCCTAATTTAAATCATTATTAATCCTAAATTAGGCCGCCTTAATTAAAAATAATTGCCAATATAAAGAAATCATATACTTATATTTAATCATATATATATAAAGTCATTTGAAATAAATAATACTTACATTTAACTAATATTAATAATATGCATTTAAATTATATTTAATCATATATACTTACATACGTATTTAACTAATTTACATAATTTTAACCCTATATTTTAGAAATAATAACACATGTATTGCCAATATTATATTTAATAATATACTTACATATATATGTATTTAACTAATTTACATATTTAACTAATTTACGTAATTTTAATTAATTAAATACAACTTAATTAACCCAATATGTTTAAATTACACCTACGTTTAACGTAACTAAATTTAAGGAATTTATTTCGTTAATTAATAATTAAGTATTAATTTAACTAATGTAGTAGCTAAAATGAACCAACTAATTCATACAAAAAATGTGTAATTCAAATTACATACCTTATCTGCATAAACAGGAAAAATGATATGAGATGGGTAGATTACATCCTTCAATTCTATCTGGAATTCTATCTGGAGTAGATGGTGTGATTTTGTTGAATGAAGCGGAGGCTGCATATATAAAACTTGTAGTCACGGACTTAGTCACGGATGTGTCCGTGACTACACTTTTTTGGTACGATTTGTCAGAGCACTTTAAATTTGAAACGTTGAAAAAATCAATTTTGCACTAGTCACGGAACCATCCGTGACTAATTTCGAATTTTAAAAAAATCACGCCGGAGGCAAAATTGGGTTGGCCGGAACACTTTAGTCACGGACTACATCCGTGACTAACTATAGTCACGGACGTAGTCACGGCCAAATCCGTGACTATCTTTTTTAAACGTTCCGTGACTAAACCGTGACTAACTAGTCACGGACCAAATCCGTGACTACAAGCGAATTTTTTTGTAGTGGTATAAGCACTGATTTGAAACCTTAGTGTCCAATATGAGATTCTGATGAAATCATAGTATCCAATTTGAGCCTTATCCCTTTTTTGTTAGTAGCACATCTACTGTAGTTTTTTTACAAAGTTAAAGACCAAATAATGGGAGAAATAAGAATTCTATAGAACATTGAATAAAGCAAGCTAATGATTAAAAGTAAATATGAATTGCAAGAAGATGGAAAATATAGGGTAATAATTGTTAAAACTAAAATGGAATCGAAGAAGATGTAAATTGCTTATATATATATGGAGCACCTAGACAAAAACAGTGGGAGTAGTGTTTTAGTACCCATACTTGGCTATTTAATAAACAGATCCCATTAATCACAATAGTATCCTTATTATTTATGACTCAATTACGGGATCAACAAAAAATTGAAAATCAAAACTCACCGAAACCGAAACAAATGAAATTGAAATTGACCAAAATCGATCGAAATTGACTAATTTGTTGGCGATTCGGTTAAGGGTTTATACTTTTGGGTTAAAACACCTGCTAAACCAAAACCGGCCACAAAACCCAACCAAAACATGTAAAATCGACCAAAACCGATACAAACCGACTCAAGTTTTATGATCAGATTCTCAGTTTCACCTATTCCAAAAGTCACTAAAACAAACCGATAAAAACCAATCGACTCAAATTGAACTGATACAACCGAACCAATGAACCACCTCTAACTCAATTGATATTTGATACATGCCAAATTTCCCTTATGAACTTCTCCAATTTGATAGTGCAATTACCTTCTTTGACAAAGTTTTTATATAGAAGTGTCAGTTTCAACCTTATTCTTGGGGGCAATTACTTACTTGTAGAACGCTTTAACAAGAGTATAAGTTTCTTAAGAGGGTTTATAAGAGAATTTGTTTCACTTTCTTAATTTTATATGAAAAACATGTTAGAATAATGATATTAAAATGCGAGTTTAACCAGATAAAAATCCTGAGTTTAAACAAATCACCAGACAAACCACCAAATGCAAGAACAAATAAAAAAAAATAATTAAAAATGAACAAAGAGAAAAGATAAGAAAAACTTATCGTAGGATCGTCCGTTAAAATGCACTGACCTTGAAGAAAGATAACCCCCGTATCCCGATAGCTATTCGGACGGGACTGGCTAGCTCGCTCCCAGGATAATCCTACTCCGTTTCAGACTCGTAGCTACCTTGAATGAAACCTTCGACCGTTGCCAAATTTTGCCGAATAAAAGAGATGGCTTGAACCACTGATGACAACTATGGTCTCAAACTATGTATTTCTTTGGAAAAGAAAAGAAAGTTCACGGATGACTAAACTCAAACAAAAGAAGAGGACTGTTCATGTATTGAGTGTGTAGAGAGAGTTGTTGTTTGCTAGGCTACGTGAGAATATTTCAGCCACATGCAAAGGTGACTTGCACCCCTTTTAATACTCCGTATAAGTAATGTGTATTTGAAAAAAATTAAAGGAGCCATGCGCCAGGTGTTTTAAACGGATATCAAAGACATGCATTAAACCATGAGAATTAAGTGGCAAAACCATGTTTATGAATCTCATAAATAGCAATTGAGGATAATCATTTTGAATTTGAATTCAACTTAATAATCCGATCAGCAATTACATTGTTCACATAATTTAAGAGTCTCTAAAATTACGACATTTAATTCTATCATTTATAATCTGTCCGGCCAGACGCACAGAACAAATAAATTCATTGTTTTAATACATCACTTTATATTCTTTACAACTATGAATTCTAATTTAAACCCAAATATGTAAGTTATTCTTTGATGTATTATCAGCCTCCTCTCCATATTTAATACAATTATATATCTTAGGACACAATAATGTGACCCTAAAAATAATGTTTATATCATCATATTTCCAACAATCCCCCACAAATCCATAGTTGTAGACTCAACTCTAAACTAGACATAGTGTGCTTTCGAATATGGTACCTTCCGGTTTGAACCAAATTCTAAGCTCTTACCCCTAACCCCCACATGAACTGAGTGAATAGAGTTCTTGAACTCGAACCTTGATTGTGTTGGCGTGGGATAAAACCAACACACTGACGGCCATGACAACGATCTATAGAGTTGACACTTTACGGCCATGCGTCCCGATCCTATCTCAAGAATATCATCGAGAATTAACCCTTATTCTCTTATCGCGGCCACACAATAACATTCTCATAGTTGGGATCTCCAAGAGTGCATTGCTAACACTCTGCTATTAAGGCTCGATCCCATTCAGAGTTTTAAACTCTTACTAACCTAGCAATTTCAGCATCTCTAAGGCTTTTCAAGGAATAGAACGCATAAAATTACTTTAATGAGATGCACAATTCACTCTACAGTTTGTTTATACCGCATTGAACCTAGTTTCAGTCCCATTCATAACCTTGATTTTATCACTTGATTTAAATCAAGTCCTTTTGTTAAAGGATCTGCTGTATTATCTTTGGATCCAACAAAATCAACAGCAAACACTCCTTGAGACACAAATTTCCTTATAGTTTTTAATCTAACTTGAATGTGTCTCCTAGTGTTTTGATTATACTTCGTACTCCTAATTTTTGCAATTGTACTCATACTATCACAATGCAAACAAATAGGTGGAATTGACTTGCTGAATATAGGTAACTCGGACATTAGTCCCATAAACCATTCAACCATAATTCCTGTAGTATCCAACAACAACAACAACAACAACAACCAAGCCTTAATCCCAAAAGAATTTGGGGTCAGCTAACATGAATCGATCTATGATATCAATGCCAAAAAGAGAAGACGGACAAGAAAAGGAAAAAAGGTAAGATAAACTGAATAAAATAAAGATAATTAAATATAAGATAACAATAACACAAGAATATAACAAAGATAAAAGATAAAAAATAAAAGAGCATAAAAAGCTAGAAGATAAAAATAACATAAGAATATAAAAAGATAAGGAAGATAAATGATAAAAGAAAAAAGAGAGGAAAGGTAGACAAGACATCAATCGTCCACACGGATGTGTGCCCTCTACTTTGCTCTCTCCAAACCCATACTCTCATCCAACCCAAGAAGACGCATATCAGTTCTGATTACTCTAATCCAAGTCTGTTTGGGTCTTCCCCCTCTCTCTACTCTGACTCTTCTCCCCACCCCTCAAGTCGTCTAATAGGTGCATCACTCGGTCTTCTATGCACATGACCAAACCACCGCAAACGAGACTCCTGCATCTTATCTTCTATAGGTGCCACTCCCACCTTTTGTCTGATTACCTCATTCCTCAAGCTGTCTTTTCTGGTATGTCCACACATCCAACGCAACATACACATCTCTATCACACTCATCTTTTGAATGTGGCATTGCTTCACCGCCTAACACTCTACACCATACATTAATGCCGAC